CAGATCCTCTCTTCTCATAGCCCTCTGGCCTCCTCCCCGTCACCACCCCTCCCCAAACCCCCTGTGTGGCTGAAGCGCAGAAAAAGTGCAATTGTTGATGTGGCCAAGCTATTCCCTGAGGCTGGAACGGGTATGAATGACAGGCACCGGCCAGTCCTCCAACCCTGCCTGCACCCCAACCCACCTGCCCCCAGCCAACTTCTTCAGTGGAGAAAAGGGGCCATTCATTGGGCTGGTTTTCCATTAATGAGCCATCAGCTTCCAGGAATCCCCTGAGCCGATCTCACAAGCCAAGGAAGCTTGGGCTTTCTCCACAGGGCACTAGAGAGCCATTGACAGTTTCAGGCAGGGGGCGACCTGGCCAGATCTGTGCTACAACAATCTCTCTGACTGTCCCGAGAATGGCTGGAGAGGCCACGAGCAGGGGCAGGAGCTGTGGGGAGACTGAGGAGGCTGTGCAGTCTTCCAGACAGGAGACCTTGGTTTCCCAGTCATAGGCGCTGATAATGTGGGTAGGGAGAAATCAATCAAATGAGGTCATTTATCTGAAGACAGTATCAAAAGTTTTTGTTTGTTTTTCTTTAAATCAATTCATGGTTGTCAAAATGTATAACTGGATCATGCAATGGCTTTAGAGTCAGAGTTTCTGGGTTTTAATTCTGGCTCTAGGACTGGACTAGGCATATAAACTTGAGCAAATTACTTGACCTTTCTGAGCCTCAGTTTCAGCATCTGTAAAATGGGGCCCCTAATACCTTCTTCAGCAAGCTGTTGTAAGGATTACTGAGATCATGCAGGCGGTGTGCTTACCCACCAGCCTGGCAGACCCAGGGTTCGGCTGTCTGTGTAATTAAGTAATAGTATGAGGGGAGAGTTTCTCTGGCCATACCCAGCAAAGGTAAGGGTGCCCACCCAGACTTGAACAGAGGGCCTGCCCCCTGCTCCCAGAAGCACAGTCAGGAAAAGGCTGATCACTGACCACCTCTTGTTTTAGTTCCACATTAAAAAATAGAAAACATAAATACCCAATAGGAAAGTTCCACACTCAAGTAGGCAATAAAATGCAGACATGCAGGTCACCCAGTCATATACAATTACTATTTCCAAGCTACATGTTGGACTCTGAGCTTCCTGGTGGCCAAAGAGAAAAGGGAAACTTAATTAGGTTACATGATTTTCAAGGAAACATTCCAGGAAAGCAAGACGTGTCTGGATCATTATTCCCAAAGAACATTTTACTCCATGGGAAGTCCTTACTGATCACTTCTTTTGTTATCCCCAGATCTGCCAGGTAGTGACCAGTTCTGTGTCTTCCAAGCTGAAACCTTTTTTCCAGACAATGCCAGGTGAGTGCTAGATGGGGTCAAGGAGACTGGGATAGAAGGGAGAGAAGGGTAGGGAGACAGGGAGAGTGTGATGGAGTCAGGTGGGCCTGGGCCAGGGTGTGAAGGGGTGAACAGATTATTTTCAAATGGCAGCTGGCATTGGATCCCTATTGGGCCAGGTCCTGTGGCAGGTCCAGAAGTGAGGTGGAAAAGCAGCCCACACCCACTTATTTGCCTACCGCTGCAGGGCCCAAACAACCAAATGCCCTCAGCTCTCTGAGGCCAGACGCACATAACTGGCCTGAGATCTGAGGCTGATCATTTTGCCTCTCTGGGCCTCAGTTTCCTTATCTTTAAAATGGAGACAATTCTCTCCATCCCCAAGTGCTTGGCAAACTGTGAAGAGCCACAGCAGGTGGGGGAGGACTCCCTGGCCGAGTGCTCACTCTGTACCTTGCATCTAGTAGAACTGTCTCTTCTTGTCCTCACCCCACTAAGCTCGTGTATTCTCCCAGTTTTACCACGGGGAAACTGGGACAACTCAGAGAGGAGCAGTGACTTGCCCACGGTCATAAACCCAGTAAGAAGCTGAAGAAGGATCCAAATACAGGTTTTCTTAATAGAGAGTCTGTGCCCCAAACTTCTACCTGGGCTCCCTCCCTGGGAAGCCTTGCACAGCAGACACTGGTTTACGCCCGCTGGTAATGCACTGCCTCCCTCCGGGCACCACCCAGCCCCAGGGGCAGAGCCCCTCCAGGGGATGTTCAGTGCAGTTGCGGTGTCCAAGGTTTGGCCTCGCCAGGCAGGAAAAATATGTTGGTTTTGAATCCCAGCTCCATCACTCACCAGCTGCACCATCTTGGACAAGCTGCCATTTCAGAGCCTGAAACACGGGAAGGAAGGGCTAAAGGAGGGACCGATTTTATTTAATTTGTATTGATTCCTGCTGGGAAACAGAGAAACCATTCAGACCCGAGCCAGCCTCAGCTCAGCCTGGATTATCACTGCTAATGCTGATGCCTCCTGGCTTTTGAGCCCTGCCATGCACAGGGAATCGGACACACACTTTCTTCTCACTCTCTCCTCCAGCACCCGTGAGCCACGGATATCACCCCCTTTAACAATTGACAAAAAGTGACTCAGGGAAGCAACGGGACATGTCCAAGGTCATATAGAGTCTGATTCGGCCCAGTTCTCTCTGCTCCTTGACCCTGTGGTTTTGCCTCATCTGGGGGCTGTTGGAAGAAGCGGGGAGATGATGTTTGTGAATGTGGGGCATGGGTTCATTTTCCTTTAAAGGGAGCTCAGGGTGGACTCCTTGGAGGAGATGGAAATGGAACTAGCACTGCAGTTCTTAATTCAACTTTAGGGGCTGCTGACTCTGCATCAAAGGCCCCAAAGATGCTGCCATGGGGAGCCAGCTCACAGTCCAACTTCTTTCCTTCTAGTGACAGCCAAGATAGATAACGTGGCCGGGATTGATTACTCACTGTTGGCACCTCCGACAGCCACGACTGAGACCTTGGATGGGCAGCTGAAGGTGAGACTTACACCGAGAATCATGTATCCTCACTCCTGGGGCTCCCCATCATCCTGGGAAACAAATCGTGCAAACACTCCACCTACCGCCTCTCTGTCCTCAACAACCCTGCATCCAGATCTTCTCCCTGCTCCCGTCACACTGGTCTCCCTGTCATTTCTGAAAGGCCCTCTGCCTGCCTTATCCCCAGGACCTTTGCACTTGCCGCTCCTCCTGCCGAGGAGGCGCTCGCCCAGATATTCACATCAGCTCTCCCTTCCTTCCTTCAGGTCTTTACTCAAATATCCCCTCTTCCCGGAGATGCCTTCTCAGACCGCTGTCACTGAAATAGCTTCCTCCTCTTGCCCCATATCTTGTTTCATTTGTCTCAGCAGCATTTATTACTAACATGCACGTATAAACACACACACAGTCACTCGCTTGGATTGAATGAGAAGGGGCTGTGACTGCTTTGTTCTTTACTGTATGTACAGCACCTAGAACTGTGCTTGGCATATAGTAAGTGTTTAATAAATATTTATTGGATGGATGCATGGATGGACGGATGGACAGATGGAATTCCATTTCATGCTCCTTTCCCTCACCACCCTCCGACCAGACACACCGGCCTTGTGCGTCCTCAACACATCAGGTTTGCTCCTTCCTCAGGGCTGGGTCTTATCCAGTCCCTCTGCCTGAACTCCTTTCCCTCCCCTCTGACTCCTCACACTCCAGGTGGGTCTGTGCTGGGATGTGGCTCCCAGAGCAGCCTTCCCTGAGCACCCCAGCTGGAGTGGGCCCCACTCCCTCCCTCCCCAATCGGCCATTGGCCTGTTTGTTTGCTCTTTACTTGTTTGTTCTAAAACACATTTGATGTAAAAAATTAAGAGGAGAGAGAAATAAATAGAAAGAAAGGGAAGGAAGGAGAGAGAGAGAGATTACCCAAATATTACAACTCAGAGATATGCACTGTTGACACACAAGTTAGATCCCTCCAGCACTCCAATCCTTGACTATACCAGGACACAAGGACACACACACACACACACGCATAAAAGATGCAGAAACAACTACACAGCAAAACCACATATAGAGACATAGAAATAAATTCACACATATTGTCACATGAGTCGTGTTGGACCTACTGTTCTACAACTTTTGAAAAACAGAACAGTGAACGTCTGGCCGTGATGCCCTCCTGTGGGCAGCCCTCTTCCTGGCTGTTGTGTCTCTCAGTGGACAGCTTATGATAGGACAGTGCCCCTTCCTGGGACATTTGGGCTCTTTCCACTTTCCCCACAAACCTAACCAGAGCTGCTGGGGACATCCTTATGGCTGGATCCTTGCCCATCCTTGAATATTTCCTAGAAGTGAAATTGCTGGACCAAATAGTACATTTTTAGAAATCTAAGTAATGCAACGGGATACAGGACTTAGAGGGCACATAATTATCTGTAGTGAATGAGGGATGAAAAGGTCCTGTTTACTACCCCCCAAGCACCCCCCAGGCCCCTGCCCAGAGATAATGACTGTGAGCCCTGGGGTGGGGGTGGGGGGTAACCCCCAGTTTCCTGGTTCTGAGCATTGGCATACACATACCTGAAAACCCATCTAGACCTTCCTGATGACCCGTTTCCTGGAATGGCTCCACACCGCATGCCCACCTGCTTCTTTCACCTAAGGGCATGTCTTAGAGACGAGTGCTCGTTGATACCTAGGTCGGTCTTACTCTCTGGTCCATCTTACTGTTGGGAGTCACATGGTAATCTCTAATATGGGTGTCGTGGTTGTTAATTTTCAATGATGAAATGATTCATCGGTACAGAGAATATTATACACCCTCGTGTACTCACCACCCAGATTTAAGAAATGTTACCATTTTGTCATATTTGCCTCTGATTCCTAAAAAAATGAAACATTGTAGAAATAAATAGCTGAGACCCCCTTGGCCCCCTCTCCAAACCCTCCCACCCCCCACCCCGAGGTAAAACACGGGTGATGCCGGTGTGGGTCCTTCTTGCCTGTGCTTTTATACTTTAACTCCTTATCTATGTGTGTCAGTAATTCTTACAGTGTGTTTTATAGATCTTTAAATTTTGCATAAAGAGTATCTTACCATATGTATCCATCTACAATTTGCTTCTTTATAACTCAGCGTTAGTGTTTTTTAGCTAAATTCACTGCTTTTGCAGTGTGTTGCTACATTGCTCTTCAGAAACATATAAACATATATTCTCCAAGCCTGGGAACGCGTTTACCAAAATTGGGTAGTATGGGTTTAAAGTACAAATATACTCACAACGGTTCACCTCTTTCTTTAAAATCACTGCTAATTTGATAAATGAAAAAACAAAGAGAACCCGTTGCTCTTTTAGTAGAATTTTTGTGCTTCCCAGCAAGGCTGAGGCAGAGCCGGTGGGCTGCTCGAGCGCGTGCTGCCGGAGCCTGGGTGCCCGCGTTCCATTCCCGGCCCTGCCACTGCCCTGAGCGACCTGGCCGGTCGCCCCCCACCCCGTGCTTGAGGGCCCGCCCTGCCCACCGAGCAGAGCGCCTGCCCCACGGGGGGCGGGAGAGCACGTGGGCCCAGCCCCAGGAGAGCCTGGTGCTGCTGTTGGGTTCCCACCATGGCTTTCTCCTCTGCGAGCGCATGGTTGGCGTCCTCGGCCCGTTTTCTCCTGGAATGAACATGGTGAATTATCTATAAATCCTGAAGGCCGCTCAGGCTCACTCTGGCCTCCACCGCAGGGGGAGTTCTTCAGCCTGGCGCACCGCAGCCCCCCGCCCTTCGCCCCGCCCGCGCTGGCTTTCCCCACCGACCACGACCACATGGTGTACCTGGGCCTCTCCGACTATTTCTTCAACACGGCTGCGCTTGTGTACCAGCAGGCTGGGGTCCTGAACCTGGTCCTCAGGGACAGCATGGTAAGGCCGGGCGGGGGGTGGGTGTGGATTTGTGGCTGTTCACACGGGGGGTCAAGGTCAGGACTCTAGGCCAGCCAGGCCTGAGTTCGAACATTGATCGGCCCCGTCTTTCCCAGCTGGGTCATCTTTGGCCAGTTACTCGGCCTCTCAGAATCTGTTTTCTCAGCTGTAAAACACCAATAACAGTGTCTACCTGCGCAGGGCCATGAGGGTTAACAGGGACGAATGCGTGGGCAGCGCTCAGCGCAGGCCCCAGGGAGGACGTCCGCGGTGAGGACTCCAAGGAGCAGCCAGCACTGACCGAGACTTGCCGTAAGGCAGGCCCTATAATCCAGTCTCAGCATCAAACCCCCATCATTGCCATCCTGCTCCTTGTCTCTGTATATTCACGGCTGAGTCCCGCTCTAGGACTCAGTTTACCCATCTGTAAAATGAGGAGATGACCATCCTCTGCAGAGTGTAGGTGCAACCTGATTCCAACCCGCTCACCAACCGAGTGGGGTTTCGCCTGCACCACTCCTGGAAGGGACGCCGTATGCTCCGTCTCCGTAGAGGTCCCACAGGGATGCTGAGCCCCCGTGCCCACTGGGGAAATAAACGAAGACCACCCGAATGAGAATTCTTCAGGGCAAGGGGGTCCGCCACCATCACTTGTACTTGGCAAAGACTCAGACAGGCAGGGGGTGTTTCTAGTGAGAAAAAGAGAGGGCTTCAGGGGAGCGCTTAGGGAGGTTGTCCGATGGGAAGCCAGATGTGGGGTAATAGGAGCTGGGCATCCTATGTGATTGGTTTAGAAGCAGATTTGACTTTTCGGGGGGCAAAAACAATTGGGAAGCTGCCAGTCACGGAACATGTCCCGACTGTCTGGTTGATTGCTGCAGAAGTGTGGGTCAGTGTGCCCTTGTCATATGTGGTCTGGCCTTTGTCTGTTTCTATATTCAGTCTCTCATCCCTCATGCGGAATTTGCCCCCCAACCTATAACATAATCCCCCAGAATCCTTTTCTTGTCTTCTCCTGCTACAGATTCCAAAGAAATCCAAGTTCCGACTGACAACCAAATTCTTTGGAACTCTAATCCCCCAGGTAAGAAGAGGCCTGCCGCCCATAGTCAGCTCATGAGGCAGCCTGGGGGTGCTGGGAGGACAGGGCTCTGCTGAGTGGCCTGAGGGGACCCACCCTCCAGATCCAGAGGCAGTCCAGCCTGAGAGAGGGGCAGTAGCTTTGCACAGCCCAGCCCCAGAGAAAGGCTCCCAGCGGTCAGGTGCTCAGGTGTGAGAGTGGCCGTGTGCTGGGGGCCCAGCAACAGACCACATCCCTGCCCTCTTGGGGCTCCAGTCCAGTGAAGAGAGAAAATTTTTATCCAGACACCCAAAACAACAAAAAAAGAAATCCAGGCTGCTGTAAATGAAGCCAACAAGTTGATGAGTTCACGTTAGACAAGGCGGCCAGGAAAGCCTCTGTTTCAATCAGCTCGGGTTACCATAACCAAATGCCACAGACTGGGTGGCTTAAGCATCGGAAATTTACCTCTCACAGTTCTGGTCCAAGGTCAAAGTGACAGCTGATTCGGTCTTTGATGAAGACTTTCTTCCTGGTTGGTAGATGGCTGCCTTCTTGCTGTGTCCTCAGATGGCCTTTCCTGTGAGCACTTATAGAGAGAGTGAGCTCTCAGGTGTCTCTTCTTATGAGGACATTAATCTTATAGGATCAGGGCCCCACCCTTATGACCTCATTCAATGTAATTACTTCCTTAGGGCCCCATCTCCAAATACTGCCACAAGGGAGGTTAGGACTTCAATATATGAATTTGGGGGGGACACAATCATTCAGCCCTTAACAGCCTCTTCAGTGGTCATACCTCAGAACATTTTATACAGGAGGTACTGATGTGGAGGAGGTGTGACTGATAAGGTGGCCTGAGGAATTGTCTGCATAACAATCATATTTTTACTCAGACTATGAGTTTACCTGGGGGAGGATTGGAGGCCAGCAGAGATGGAGTGTCACCAAAGCTGCTTCATTCCCCCTTGAAGCCACCATTGCTTTCTGAGGAGTTGGCATTTGAACTAAGACCTGAGGGAAGGGAAAGAGCCAAGCTAGGAAAGATAAGCATTTAGGGAGGGACAAGCATTTAAGGAGAGGGAACAGAGAGTGCAAAGGGTCTTAGGGAAATAGCAGGTCATATTTGTGGAACAGGAGTCCCATGTGGCTGGCACTGGGAGGTGTATAGAGTGAGGTTGGCAGAGTGTCAGCTACCAGTTCATGCAGTCTTTAGGATTTAGTCAAAATGCAATGGGAAGGGCCAGGACAAGATAGGATTTAGAAACATTTAAATAAAATTGCCCCTTTTGTTGGTTGTCCCCACTGGGGGCTGCAGGTGGCCAAGATGTTCCCCAACATGAGCATGCAGCTCCACATCAGGGTCTCCTCCCCACCGCACCTCACAGTGTCCCCCACCGGCCTTGCCTGCGCTCCTGCCCTGGAGGCCCAGGCCTTTGCTGTCCTCCCGAACTCCTCCTTGGCCCCTCTCTTCCTGCTGGACCTGGTAAGCTGCTCCAGGGTGTGGGCGGATGGGGAGCCCCGGACAGGGCCGAGAGCACTGCCCTTGGGGTCAGTGTGACTCCTGCCCGGATTCAAACCTGGACTGTGTAGCTTCAGGGCCTGAGACCAGAGCCATTACACTGACTGCCTTGGGCCCCTACAGGCGCTCATTCAGTCAGTCATTCGTTCCGTCGTTGGCTCGACATGTGTGTACTGTTTCTGATTCACTCTCCCGTATCTTCAGTCCTTTAATTATGCTTCTGTGTACTGTTCATTCACTTATCCTTGTTTTTACTCTGCTGTTCATTTGTGTGTTCCTTCATTTGGCCACGGTGTCACTCCATGAACATTTGGTGGCACCCACTCTGGCCATTAGGAGTGAAGGCCAGACTTTCTCCCCACCCAGAGGTGCTCACAGGCCTCAGGCAGGTCTGCCCAGTCTCAGGTTGAGACCCATTTTCCCCTCTCTGCAGATTAAATGGGTCCTGGCAGGGTCGTCCAAGGTCACACAGGCAGCAGGCAGGGAAGCTGAGGCGGGAACCTCGGTTTTCCATCACTGAATGTTTGTTGAGTGAATAAATGAATAAATGGCTGTGGGAATGGGGCTGGCCTAGACTCCCGCCCCATGGCCTGACTCACAAGTAGCCTGGGGAGTCTGATACTGACTCGGAAGCAGGGGAGAAAATGGTACTTGGTCCACAGTCCAGGACTCACCAACAAGCTGGAAGCAAAAGGAAGACTACACCCCCTTCCCAGACTGACCCTCCCAGCCTTGGAGNTGGTCCACAGTCCAGGACTCACCAACAAGCTGGAAGCAAAAGGAAGACTACGCCCCCTCCCCAGACTGACCCTCCCAGCCTTCCAGAGCCCCAGGCCCTGGGTCAGGACGTCACCTCCTGGGTCGTTGCTTTGCAGAACACGAACCTTTCTGTGGAGGTCGGTGCCATGTCAGACAGGCTTGTCGGAGAGCTCAGCTTGGACAAGTAAGTGAACCTGTGGGGACGGACAGGGAGCTGCACACTCAGTCGTGGTGTCGGTGGGCTAGCAATGACCTTACAACGTGCCGAGGACCATGTCGGTTTTTTCCATTCACCTGGCACAGTGAAGCCTCGAACAGCTTGCAGAGGGTACAAAGTTCCCATTCTGCAGACAGTGAAACTAACACTCAGAGATGAAGTGACTTGCCCAAGGCCACACCAACCATCTCAGTTTGCCAAGAGTGTCCCAGTTTGGGCGCTGAAAGTCCCACGTCCCAGGCCACCTCTCTGTCGTGGGCCACTCATGGCTGGGCAGTGCCAGCTGATGCCGCTCCACACGGAGCCACAGCAGCCCCAGCCCCCCGTACCCCCCACCTTCCTTGGCACTTGGAAAACCCACTTCAACATCTTCACCCCCATCTTTGGGACTTTGTCCAGCCCCCCCCCGCCGAGGGAGGCGCCAGGAGCCTGTGCCGGGTTTGCATCCTGGCGGAGGCTGTGGCAGTGTGACACTGAGGTGCCCTCATTCGAAGCGCAGCTCTCCGCGGTGAGCAGCAAACTCTCCAGACTTCGGTGTCCCTGGCTGCAAAATAAGCTCAGGAATTGTTCTTTGCCAACAGTATCATCGTGAGGTTGAAATGAGGCATTAACATGTGTTCGAATGTTTGGAACCCTTCCAGGGATAAAACGAGTGCCCAGTAAACAAGGGGGAAAGAGAAAGGGACACTAGGAAAAAGAGAAACGCAGAAACTGGGGGAGAGACAGAGAAAGAGACAGACACAGAGACAGAGAGACATTCAGAGAGAGACACACAGAGGAAAGGAAGAGACATCGAGAAAACAAGACAGAGTGAGAGCAAGAGAGACAGGCAGGCGGATGGACAGACACGTTAAGAGGGAGTCTCAGAGAAGGACAGACACACGCAAAAGGAGGGAAGAGGGACTTAGAGAGGTGAGACACAGAAAAAGAGGGGGAGACACTTGGAGAGAGCAGATGCAGTGGCCCCAACATCTAGGCCTGGCATCTACTTCTCGGTCCATTCACGCGTCACCTGCCTTGGCCCACGCCCCTGCCCGGTCCGCCTTCTCCCTGGCACCGGGCTGTCCCCTGTAACCTTGACGTTGACCCTTGAGGCTCCCATGCTGCTCATTTCTTGTGACGTCCTTTTGAGAGGTGTTACTGCTTTGGGAAAGTGTGGATTTAATTTTCCTTGAAACACCCGTGGGCCTCTCAAGCAGAGGAGCCGGAAAGGACACAGCTGCGTGACAGCTGAGCAGACTCTGAAATGTGCGGGGTGGGGTTGAGAAGCCACAGGCCGGGAGTCCGGGGCGCCTAAGCCTTGGTGGACAAGAGCGAGTTTCCAAGCTTCGTAGGGCATCCTGGAGACAACAAAAGCTTTGGCAACAGGGGGACTTACTACTAGAAATCCTGCTTTGCTCACTGTTAGCTCCGTGGCCTTGGGCAGGCTGTTTGACCTCTCTGAGTGCCCGTTTCTCACCTGTAACATGGGAGTGTGATGGCCCTTGCCTCTTGGGGAGTTACAGGAATTCAGCGGGACAAAGTATTCAACACAGTGAAGGATAGGGGTTCAGTAAACAGCCATTTATTTCTCCCTTTCTCTGAGATCACGTTTAAAATGCCAGAAAGCCTGTGAAGAGGAGATAGTTTATTGGCTCAGGTAATTGAAAAGTCCAAGGTTTTCAGGCAAGGGTGGATCCAGGTGCTTAAATTATGTCCTTGGGGCTCTGACCCTCTCCATCTCTTGGCTCTGCTATCCCCTATGCTGGCTTCCTTTTCTAGAAGGCCGTCACCAAGTGGTGACAGAAATGCTCACCAGCAGCTCCCTAATTTTCCTGGAGAAAAAAGAACACCTCATTCCCAATATTTTCAGCAGAAGTCCTGAGACCAACTCTTATTGGGCCAGCCGTGAGCCCCAGGTCCATTCCTGAAGCAATGGCCAGGGCAAAACCTGTGGAATCTGCCCCCTGGCCGGCCCACCTCCGGCTCAGCACTAGCAGTGTAGAGAATGGGCGATTTCCCCGAAGGAAAAGTCAGGGGGCTGTGCCCAGGGGAAGGGGGATGAACACTGGGTGGGAGAACCAGGCAGTGCTCACCAGAGCGGGCCCTTTCTCCCCAGTAACTGAACTCCCACAGAGTCAGGCACTGTCTCAGCTCCCCTCCCCTCCCCACAGGCTGCTCCTGCAACTGAGGCACTCAGACATCGGCCCCTTCTCGGTGAGTCTGAGGCCACTGGTGGCTCCTTCCTTCCCCTGATCTTGAGATAATGGTCCTGAAGGCCACTGGGCTCCTGGCATCATTTCAGGAGGCCGCTGGTCATTTGCGTACAATTTGCATGCGAGGTAATGATGGGAGGGGCTCCGTGGCAGAGAGACCTGCTGGAATCGGCTCCTTGCCTCCTCACTGTGGGCCTTGGGCAAGTCACTTCCTCTTTCTGAACTTCAGCCCTTCCCCACAAGTCAGGGGCGATCCTTCCCACTTGAATTAATGCTGTGAGGTTTAAATGGGATTAAATGCGCATAACCTGGTATGGAAAATCTGCTCAATAAATGTTTGTTGAATGAACAAATGAATTACTTTGTTGAGCACCTGCTATGTGGCAGGGGCTGCTCCAGGTGTTGAGATAGGCTCATGAAGAAGATGGGGAAACAACCCCTTCTAGAGTCTTACATCCTAGTGGGAAAACAGACTATAAGAAATGAAGATTATTTAGGTCAAGATCAGTGCTATGAAAAACAAAATGGAAATAGGGTAGACAGTGTTGGGAAGGCTGAAGGTTAGATGGTATGATCACAGAAAGTCTCTCTGAGGAGGTGATATCTGGTCTGAGGGAGCCACAAGGGGAAGATCTGCCACAGGCAGAGGGGATAGCAGGGGCAAAGGCCCTGAGGCTGGCCCCGGGCCTTCTGGGCTAGAGTAGATGGTGTATGATGGGCAGTGAGAAGCGATGAACTGTTTCATACAGAGCAGCATGATCTGATTTATACCTTTATGAAAGATGCCCCTGGCTGGGATTAGGGGAATGGATTATGAGGGACAAGGTTAGACCACGTAAATCAGTGGGGAGGCAAGTGCATCTGTCCGTGTGAGAGATGATGGGGCTAAGACTAGGCCAGGAAGAAAGAGAAAGATGATAGATTGGGGACATATACTTTGAAAGTAAGATTAGACAGAACTTGAGAGGTATGATAGGTGGGGTGAGGGAAAGGGCATTGAAGAATGACACCTTGATTTTTGGTTTGAGCAGCTGGGTGAATGGCAAAGTCACTGAGATGGAGAAGGGCAGGCGGGAGGGAGAGGAACAGGGTTCTCACCAGCCCAGGTAGATGATTTTACTACCCAGGGTCCCCGACCATCATTAAGTAGACTCACCCCTGCCTCCCTCACCCAGGAAAGACACTGGTGGTGAGTTGTCCACATAAGAGGAGCTCAAATGCTCTTCAGCAGCCTCCCTGAGTGAGCATCACCCTTGTTACTCCCATGAGAAGCCACCACATGCTGATTCTGTCCACAGCGCCTGACCCCATGTGGCCCCCTGGTGAACCCCAGGAGAACATTTCCTTGGATCTCTGAAAGGCCCCCTAGGTCCCCAACAAATGGGGGCCTTGTAAGCCACCCAACCCCAAAGTCAGGCTATCCCAAAGTCCCCTTCAAATCTGATGGAACGCCAACCAGCCATTTCCATCTGATGAGATTACAAGAAACAAAAGGACCCAAAGCTGCCTCACTGGTTTTTCACGGATTTACTGCTGCCAGGGCTCTGGGAGTGTGATAGCTCAGTGAGTAACCAACTTCTGCTTCTGCAGAAAATAGAAATGTTAAGTTCCTAGATTTATGGGAAGAAGCGCCCCACATTTGATGAGCCAGAGAATTACAGCCTGGGAAGGGAAGCTCAGCTGTTCCAGAAACAAAAATGTACATAATTACAAGCTGTAAATGTCACCACTGCCGCAACACTCCTGAGGGTGTTACATTACTGTTGAAGTTTTATCATTGCAAAAGCAAAACATATACATTATAGACAATCAGAACCTGCAGGTTTACAAAAGGAAGAAAAGAAAAGCCGTTTCCTAATTCCCCCATTAGTTAATAATTTGGAGTATACCCTTCCTGACCTTTTGCTATGCGTACTCAATAACAAAATGGAATTCTGTGGTTTCTACAGCCTGCTTTCCCTTACTCAAAAAATATTACGAGTGTCTCTGTGATGATAATTACATTTCTACAACATCATGTATAGCAGCTGCATAGTTTCCTAGCATCAAAGGCCACCATGTCCTCCAGATGATTCCCCAAATGTGGACATGTAGGTTGCTTTTTTTAAAAAAAAAATTTATTACAGTATAATTGACATGCAATATTATATTAGTTTTCAGGTGTGCAACACAGTGATTTGACACTTATAGCCTTACAAGGCGCTCACCACACTAAGTCTGGTCCCCACCTGTCACTGTGCAGAGCTGTCACACTGTAACTATCCCCCTCTTCACCATTTCCCCCCAGCCCTCCGGCGACCATCAGTTTGCTCTCTGTTTCTGTGAATGTTTTTTTGCTGTTTTGATAATTTGGGGGTTTTGTTTTGTATGTGTTTTGTTTCAGATTCCGGTATAAGTGAAATCCTGCTGTATTTATCTTTCTCTGTCTGACTTATTTACCCTCCAGGGCCATCCATGTTGTCGAAAATGGCAGAATTTCATTCTTCTTTACTGCTGAGTGGTCCGTTGTTTCAGTTATAGTCACCACTCTGAGCATCCTTGCATCTGTTTTGTGCCCACATCCTAGTCACTTCCTTGGGGTAAATGCCTTAGAGGCATGTCTGCAGCACACCAGGCACATGCATTTTTAAGGCTTTTGATGAACATTGCTGAAGAGCCCTGGGAAAGGTTGAGCAGTGTGCCCTCTAGCTGGCAGTGCCTGAGATAACGCATTTTCTCACACAAAGGGTTTCACACTTAGATACAATCTGCGGACCATCCTCCCCTCTGCCTTGCACCTCACAGTCTAGAACTTGCTTTACATCTGGAACTTTTAGCGTTAAAGAGATCACTCCCGTGGCCTCGATCGGGCTGCAGAGTTTTCACGACACGTGGGCCCATCTCTCGGCAGGGCCCACATCTCTTTCCAGCTGTGAGGTTGCCCTGCACGGGAGGGCAGGAGAGGGAGGACTGCCGATGCCTCAGTGCCCTCACGGGGTCCCGTCCTCTGATTTCCAGGTTGAATTGCTGCAGGCCATCATGAACTATGTTGTGCCCACTTCCGTGCTTCCCAAGGTTAACGGTAAGGAGCTTTGGAGAAACGACTGATTTTCAGTCCTGGGAAAAGTAGTGGGAATAATTCTTAGAGCCACCTAATACCTGGCCCCAGTTGTGGGGGCTGACTGGAGGTCACCTCAAATGGACCTCAAATGGCATCTGACCCAGAAGAGGCATGGAGAAGAGGGAACCCACGTGGGTGGAGTTCTTATTACATGCCCATCCAATCCTTATGAGATGGGGGATTATTAATATCTCCAACTTTCATGGAAGGAGGTCAGAGAAGTTAAATGACCAGGTCACAGAGCAGGTGAGCAATGGAGCTTGGGTTTCATCCCACCTCTGAAGTCAGAGCCCTTGGTCTTTTTCCAACTCTGGGAGGAAGGCCAGGGAAGAAGGGTCTCGGCTAAGGTCTTATGCTCACCACACTGGTAAAGGCTCCGGCAGGCCTGCCACTAAGCTTGGCATAGCCAGGGCAATGATACACACAGAGGCCCACATAACATGTGACTAGAATATTTAAAACTAATAAATGAAGACAACAGGGTATTATATAGAGTCTGACTAATCCTCCCACCTTGACATATGTAGCTTCATAATGACCCAGGAGACCAGGTGAGATACCCCTGGAGCTCCAGTTCAGAAAGGGATGGGGTCGGAGGAGCTGGCGGCTGGCCACCGCCCACCTCTGATTTTATCCTAAACACTGGGGGGCTTCCTGCACACACACGTAGATACCCCCATCACACGTCCACACCCGTGCAAGCAGCGCCCCCTGGCTGTTACTCGGACCTCAGAGGGGTGATGGTGGTCAAGAGTCCTGCACAGGCCCCGGTCTTGAGCTTGGGTGACGGGGCGGGAATGCGAGGCCACCCACCTGGCTCTCTCGGGCCCCCTCCCCAGCCTCTAGCTCAGCCTCTCCTGACCCTCACCTTAACCTCTGTTACAGAGAAGCTGCAGAAAGGATTCCCTCTCCCTCTGCCCGCCCGCATTCAGCTCTTCAACCTCGTGCTTCATTCTTACCAGGTGAGTCCCAAAGCTCTCTCTTCACCCAGCCTCCACCACAACAGCAACCTGGCGCGGAAAGGCGCTCTCTGGCAGCCCCTGCCAAGCTCTTCCTACCCTTCCCACAACCCCGGGAGGTGGGTGCTCGGAACAAGCGGGCGGAGAAGAAAGACTACGACTCAGAAACCCCACATAGCTATTAAAGGAAGTCCAGACCCAAAGCCAGGCCCCTGCTTTTTTTTTTTAATACCTTTTTATTGATTTTTTTTTTTTTTTTTTTTTTTTAGGGGGGGGGGGGGGGGGGGGGGGGGGGAAGAGAGAGAGAG